CGGCCACGCAGTCCCAGCCGGCAGCGAGACGCATTTCCGCGTGGCGGTGGTAAGCTCTCGCTTCGAGGGACTGAGCCCCCTGCAACGGCACCGGCTGGTCCACGCGGCACTGTCAGAGGAGCTGGCCGGACCGATCCACGCGCTGGCCATCCAGGCGCGGACTCCCGCCCAGTGGAGGGAGAACCCTCAGCTGGACAGTAGCCCTGCTTGCCTGGGTGGGAGCAAGAAAACTCGAGGAACCCCTTGAACCCCAAGAGAGGGAGAGGACCAAGATCTGAATGGGCTAGGTGAGAGTAAACTACTTGAGACCTTCTTCCCCTAAATCTAGTTCGGGATTTGTAAGGGGCATTGACCCCTGAGCCCTACTCTGCTGGCACATATTCTCCATAGATAGCAACTCACTTCAGGGCAAAGCTAACCCAAGGAAAGAGCATGCCCTGGACTATTCAGGAAGGCCTGCCCAGTTGTTCTATGTTCAGTTGTGACTAAGAAACTGCACCAGACCTGATGAATTGTAAACAATCCTGTACAGTAAAAGAGAAACGACCATGTGAGAAACATTGCTGTATTTTTAATGGCCTGTTGAATCAGTGTTACACGTGTTCTTGGTAGAAGAAAGATACTTGTAGACTAGGATAATCAGGAAGGGCTTCAGGGGGGAAGCAACCTAGTTGGATTTTTAAAGGAAAGCACAATTAAACTAGAAAGGAGAGTAAAGGTGTTGCAAGCAGAGGGAAGAACCTGAGCAAAGGCGTAGAAGCTTGACTGGGCAGTGAGTTATTGGATAAGCAGGGGTTATAGGCAGGGACACATTTGAACTTTATATTGGAGGGATGTTTGCCTTTTAACAGCCTGTCCATTTCCAAAAAGTACTTGTATTTGTATATAAGGAAAAGTTTTTTAGCCACTAAAGCAGTGAAAAGAGAATAAGAACCTAGAAAATGATTACAGAAGATGGAAATCTTTATGTAGTCCTTTTTTTTATGAGTCTTCCTAATGTTAAGTCATATTTCTGAGGGGAACTCAAGTAATGTCTACATCAGCAACTCCAATATTCTCAATGTGGACATTACTAGATCTTTTTTCTTTTCTTTCCTTTTCTTTTTTTTTTTTTTTTGGCAGCTGGCTGGTACCAGGAACCAAACTTTTGACCTTGGTGTTACAGGGCTGTGTTCTAACCGACTAAGTGGAAATTATTAGAAAAAAGGCTTGGTTAACATATGTCTTGGCCATTTCTGGCTAAAGAGTTTAGATTGCATCTGGTTGGGCAGTAGAGAGTCATTAAGAATTTTGAGTAAAGGTATGTCAAAGGGCACTTGGGGGCAGATTGGTCTGGCAGTCATGTGTAAGTGGGTTGGCACGAGAGATTGGAATCAAGAGTCGAAGTGGAGCCCTGACTTGAGGTCAGCTGTGGGAATGGAAAGAACAATGTTGATTTGAGAGCCACCATTTTAAAAAATCAGAAAATGGCTTGATTAGAACAGAAATGGACTAGAGAGGGAAGTCAAGGGTGACCCCCAGGCAGGGGTTTTCAGATTCCTTAATGGATAAGAATTCCCAAGAGAGCTTGTTTAAAATGTAGGTTTGAGGTTCCCCCCCCCCTCAAAGATTCTTATTCCACAAGTCAAGAATGGAGTCTGGAATCTATATATATATATATATATTTTTTTTTTTTTTTTTTAAAGATGACCGGTAAGGGGATCTTAACCCTTGACTTGGTGTTGTCAGCACCATGCTCAGCCAGTGAGTGAACCGGCCATCCCTATATGGGATCCAAACCCGGGGCCTTGGTGTTATCAGCACCGCACTCTCCCGAGTGAGCCACGGGCCGGCCCTGGAATCTATATTTTTAAAAGGCACACCAGAAGATTTGTAGGAAGGTTGGTTCTATTCTTAAGAAACATTACTCCAAATTTCCNCTTCATCCGCCGGAACGTCAGGATTTCCGGCCCTGAGCGGGAACTGCGGTAGCCGAGGCTGAGTGGCAGGTAAAAATGGCCTAGCCTGGGGTTCAGATGCGACACGGGGACACCGGCTCAACCGAAAGCACGGAGTTGCACATACCTTATTTTTGCAACCTCCCGCCCATTTTTTGCAAATCCCCTTGGTCGCCCCTTGTCCCTCCACTGTCCGCAGCTGGAGGCCAAATTTCCCCACGTCACACAGAGAAAAGGGGTGGGGTGTCTCGGGTCTCCCTGCAAGATCCTGGTGTGGACGTCGAGGGTGGGGGTGGGAGTGGCGGGGGGTGGTGCGGAGACCGCGGGGCAGGTGAAGAAACTGGTCTCTCACCAAAAGCGGGAAGCCCAGATCCTCACTCCTCTCGTCCGCCTCTCCGCCGTAGCCAATGCTGAGTGGGCGGCTGATCCGACGCCTAGTCTCTATGGCTGGCCGCGTCTGTTTGTCCCGGAGCTGCGCAGGATCCCGGACCGTCGGTCCAGTCGAGGCCACCATTCGCGCGAAGTTGGAGCAAGCCCTGAGCCCCGAGGTGCTGGAGCTGCGCAACGAGAGCGGCGGCCACGCAGTCCCAGCCGGCAGCGAGACGCATTTCCGCGTGGCGGTGGTAAGCTCTCGCTTCGAGGGACTGAGCCCCCTGCAACGGCACCGGCTGGTCCACGCGGCACTGTCAGAGGAGCTGGCCGGACCGATCCACGCGCTGGCCATCCAGGCGCGGACTCCCGCCCAGTGGAGGGAGAACCCTCAGCTGGACAGTAGCCCTGCTTGCCTGGGTGGGAGCAAGAAAACTCGAGGAACCCCTTGAACCCCAAGAGAGGGAGAGGACCAAGATCTGAATGGGCTAGGTGAGAGTAAACTACTTGAGACCTTCTTCCCCTAAATCTAGTTCGGGATTTGTAAGGGGCATTGACCCCTGAGCCCTACTCTGCTGGCACATATTCTCCATAGATAGCAACTCACTTCAGGGCAAAGCTAACCCAAGGAAAGAGCATGCCCTGGACTATTCAGGAAGGCCTGCCCAGTTGTTCTATGTTCAGTTGTGACTAAGAAACTGCACCAGACCTGATGAATTGTAAACAATCCTGTACAGTAAAAGAGAAACGACCATGTGAGAAACATTGCTGTATTTTTAATGGCCTGTTGAATCAGTGTTACACGTGTTCTTGGTAGAAGAAAGATACTTGTAGACTAGGATAATCAGGAAGGGCTTCAGGGGGGAAGCAACCTAGTTGGATTTTTAAAGGAAAGCACAATTAAACTAGAAAGGAGAGTAAAGGTGTTGCAAGCAGAGGGAAGAACCTGAGCAAAGGCGTAGAAGCTTGACTGGGCAGTGAGTTATTGGATAAGCAGGGGTTATAGGCAGGGACACATTTGAACTTTATATTGGAGGGATGTTTGCCTTTTAACAGCCTGTCCATTTCCAAAAAGTACTTGTATTTGTATATAAGGAAAAGTTTTTTAGCCACTAAAGCAGTGAAAAGAGAATAAGAACCTAGAAAATGATTACAGAAGATGGAAATCTTTATGTAGTCCTTTTTTTTATGAGTCTTCCTAATGTTAAGTCATATTTCTGAGGGGAACTCAAGTAATGTCTACATCAGCAACTCCAATATTCTCAATGTGGACATTACTAGATCTTTTTTCTTTTCTTTCCTTTTCTTTTTTTTTTTTTTTTGGCAGCTGGCTGGTACCAGGAACCAAACTTTTGACCTTGGTGTTACAGGGCTGTGTTCTAACCGACTAAGTGGAAATTATTAGAAAAAAGGCTTGGTTAACATATGTCTTGGCCATTTCTGGCTAAAGAGTTTAGATTGCATCTGGTTGGGCAGTAGAGAGTCATTAAGAATTTTGAGTAAAGGTATGTCAAAGGGCACTTGGGGGCAGATTGGTCTGGCAGTCATGTGTAAGTGGGTTGGCACGAGAGATTGGAATCAAGAGTCGAAGTGGAGCCCTGACTTGAGGTCAGCTGTGGGAATGGAAAGAACAATGTTGATTTGAGAGCCACCATTTTAAAAAATCAGAAAATGGCTTGATTAGAACAGAAATGGACTAGAGAGGGAAGTCAAGGGTGACCCCCAGGCAGGGGTTTTCAGATTCCTTAATGGATAAGAATTCCCAAGAGAGCTTGTTTAAAATGTAGGTTTGAGGTTCCCCCAATGTTGGTGGTGACCAGTGCAAAGGGAGTTCATTCAAGCTGTGGTGCCATCCACACTGGAGGACCTTGATGCATCAGACACTGGGTAAGCTGAACACCATGTGCCAAGAAGAGCAGCCAAATAGCAGAATCCCTACTGCCTAACATGACCCCCTGCGGTAGCAACATCAGGGCTTACTGGAGACTGGTTAGACTTCTCAGTTTTCTCTCTGGCGAGCCGGTATATGAAAAACTGATATCCTGGACCGGATAAACCCATGGATGAAGGGACTCCAAAGAATGAAAGAATTTCTTGATAGTGAGATGTGACCTTGTTAGTATCCCAGGCTGGTGAAGTAGAAGTAGAAATATATACTTACAGAGCTTATATACTCTTTTATGTTATTTTCATTCTAAGTTTAACTGATTTTTATTTTTATTTATTTATTTATTTATTTATTTTTTAAAAGATGACCGGTAAGGGGATCTTAACCCTTGACTTGGTGTTGTCAGCACCACACTCAGCCAGTGAGTGAACCGGCCATCCCTATATGGGATCCAAACCCGGGGCCTTGGTGTTATCAGCACCGCACTCTCCCGAGTGAGCCACGGGCCGGCCCTGGAATCTATATTTTTAAAAGGCACACCAGAAGATTTGTAGGAAGGTTGGTTCTATTCTTAAGAAACATTACTCCAAATTTCCAAACTTGGGAGACTTAGAGGGCCTTCCATCTGTAGAAGTGGAAAGGACAGGACAGAGAGGCCAATTTAGGAGATAAATGTCATATGTTATTCTGGCCTTCACTTTGGAGAGAGAGTTGTTTTTCCATCTCACCATTTTACTGTCCCTGGACTGTCAGGAGACAGAACAGAGTTAGATGTAGGTAGAAAGGCAAAGAAGCAGACATAGCCATTTTGGATTTTAAGGATCTGTTTCCTGTTTATTTTTCATTTCATTTTCACATCAACAGAGTTGGGTTGAGGGTTCCCCAGGAGAGCAAGGGAGATGGATGGGGCCCTCTTGGGGGAAGAGGGGAGAGGGCTACGTCCAGCAAGTAAATAGTGAAGGGAGAAGGCACACACTCATACACGGCACTGGAGGAGAAGGCAGTCCTTTGAGCACAGACACCAAAGAAGTAAAACAGTCACCACCTGGTTCAGTGTTACAAAATGGGGGTGGAGGAGAGGGGAGCCGGGAGTGACTGGATGGGGGCACCAGACGCAGCGTGAGGAGGGTGAATTTGGATTTTCTTTTTTGTTGTTATTTTCATTTTTTTTCTTTTAACGTTTTTTAAACATTTTACAAACAGCTAAAAACTACAACACATCACCACTACGATAGGGGTTGGAGGAGGGCACCAAGGAAAGCAGCCACAGAGAGTAGAGTGGGACAGGGGCAGCTTAACCTACAGAAGCTGTTGTGTGGAAAGGAGAGATAGGGAAACTGAGGCTTCTGGTCCCTGCATTAGGGATCCCTCACTTACTGCCCAACCTCTCCCCACTTTTAGAGGAGTTGTCAGCAGGTCTCCTGCTTGTTGCCCCTGCCCCTGTCCCAGCTCCTTGTGCTTTCTGATGTGCTGGTTTGACCATGTGCCTGTTTTCTTTCCCTCCCCCGCTCCCCTGCCTGTGAGGAGACAGGTTGAGGGCGTGGAAGGGCACCTGTGCTGCGCCTGTCTGTGCTGTAGTGAGTGGAGCCTCTCACTCCACAGTTGAGGGAAAGAGATGGGCTCTGTCAGGTCTCCTCAGATCTTGCTGCACTGTGGACTCTTACCCAGCCTGGCCTAGGGCTCCTCCCTCCCAGGCCCAACACAGAAACAAGATTAGCAGAGGTACCATGGGAAGCAGGGGTGTGTGTATGTGTGTGTACGTGCGTGCATGCGTGCGTGCGTGTGTGTGTGTGTGTGTGTGTGCACGCTGAAACTACCCTTGGCTTATATTTTTGGACGGTATAGTGACACCCCCACCCCATGGCACAAACACATTCATACATAAGTATACACACATTCACACACACACAGAGTCCTGCTGAGCTGCCTCAGAAATTAATATATAAATAAGTAAGAATCAGGAAGCTAATTAATTTCATAAAATTCAGGCTTCATATTTGCAGCCCAAATTGAGGGGAAGTGGAGGCCAGGGGGCCGAAGTTTATTGCTACTCCCCCAGCATCCAAAGGGAGGTGTGAGAGGACACCTGAGACCCTTCTGACACTAAGAAGTTCTTTTGGTCCATGGTCTACACGCAAGCCCCAGCCCCCAGCATAACTGCATACCTGTGGTTTCACCAGGGCCAAGGCAGAGGGAATGAGGGGGAAGGCAAGAAGCCTCTTCTGGAACCCCCGGAGCAGGGAAGCAAGAGCCCCTCTCTAACACTGGGGGGAAGGGTAGGGCTCAACCTCTTGTGCAGAGTCAAGGGTAGTAGGAGGTGGGGAGTAGAGCTTCATCCCAACCCTGGGATGAAAGAGCCTTCCCTGGAGTCCCTGCCCACAGAGGTCACACACATGCACACACACACGCACGCACAGCTAAGACACCCGACGTGAGAGTGGGGTGTGAGGGCTCTGGGGGCCAGGATGGCAGGGCAGGGAGGGGAAAGGAGTTGTTGGTCTCACAGTGTGCCTGCCACCCCCAAAACCCTAGAGACCCCCTTACTGCAGCACCTGCCCCCGGGTCTCAGGCAACTTCAAGGCCAGAGAGCTACCAAGGGCAAGGGCAGCTGAGGCAAAGAGGATGGGGGCAGCCTTGGTGATTCCCACGAAGGATGTGAAGATGCTGATCCCCAGCACAGCTGCCAGCTTACACAGGGCATTCAGGAAGCCGAAGGCTGTGGTCCTGCTCAGGAGTCCCCAGTACAGCATGGAGGGTGGGGCCCAGGAGGGGGACAAGGAAGAGCAGGTGGGCAGGAAGCGAAAAGGAGGAAGATGGCAGGCAGTTTCCAAGAGGGACAGGGAAGGATGGAGAGACCAGAGAGGTAAGGATGTACATCAGAGAGTATAGAGAAATTGGGAGACAAGGAGGAAAGGAGACCAAAAAATAAAGTTAATAGTTAAGTCTTCAAGGAGCCAATCCAAAAGCTACCAGCTGTTAGAGAAGAAACTCAGTGGGAACGTGTGTCCTTTTACCCCTAAAGATGCTTTTCCCATTCAGCCCCCCTTCCTCACCCCACTTCTCCCTGGCCCTCTGTGCCCTAAACCTGCTGCCCTGTCCCCACCACACTTCAATTACCTCTTGTCTGAGGGGTAGAGTTCAACAGTCAACACGTCCAGCGCGTTCCAGGATGCAATGCTGACCCCCCCAAAAAGGCAAAGCAGAGCAATCATGGCTGACTCACTGTTCCCGAAAGACAGGAAGACGCAGGAGACACAGGACATCACGCTGGAGCCAGCTGGAGCAGGAAGAGGAGCGAGCAGCATGAGCCTGATCACAACAAAACCCATCCATAACCTACCTTGTCCCACCAGCTAGCTTTGAGAGAGCCCAAGATGAGATGTCTTTTTCACCATGTACCCAAATGGAAGGCTTTTCATTCATCCTCAACCTCCCTTATAATTGTCTATTATTAATAATATCAGTAACAACCATTTATTCAATGCCAGCCATGGGCCAAGCAACTCGATGCTTCACATGCATTCATCTAGTCCATCAACCTATGAGGCAGGTACTATTATCACCTCCATTTTGCAGATGAAACAATCAGGCTCATAGAGATTAAGTAACTTGCCCAAGGTAGGTGGTAGAGCTGAGATTCAAACCTACCACCTCAAAGCCTGTGCCCTAATTGCTATTCTGCCTACCTCCTTTACTTCCTAGAGACGCTTCTGTGCCAGGCCCCACCCCATCCTGCAGCACCCCCTAAACAGAAAACGTTGAGAGAGAAGCTCCTGGCCAATCTCTTCCATAGCCCAAGGTGAGAATATTGTTGACAGCTTCCCCGAGCCTCCAGCCCCCCAATCAATTCTGACACACCACCACCCAGCCTCTTCCCCTTACCAAGCATTCTGAGCCTGCCAATCTTGTCCATGAGCAGGGCAGACACGATATTCCCAGGAAGCACAGCCAGCGTTCCCAAGAAGCTGACAAAGTACACCATGTAGGCTCCTTCACCTGTCCCTGTCACGTCTAGCGGGCAGCCCTCCTTGTTGTGCAGGAATGTGCTGTTTACCAGACGGCTGTTCACAAACTTGTACTCAAACAGGTCTGGGGGTGAAGGCCAAGACAGACAGGCAGTCACAGCAAATGTGAGAGGAAGGCCACTGCTGCTTATGGCTCAGGGCTCTGCATTATTGGAGGTTAGCAGTGGGGAGCTTGCAAAATTACTCAGCACTCACTAAAAAACATCAAATAACATCATCTTAGGAACTAGGAATCTTTTTTTTTTTTTTTTTAAAGATGACCGGTAAGGGGATCTTAACCCTTGACTTGGTGTTGTCAGCACCACGCTCACCCAGTGAGCGAACCGGCCATCCCTATATGGGATCCGAACCCATGGCCTTGGTGTTATCAGCACCACACTCTCCCGAGTGAGCCACGGGCCAGCCCAGAACTAGGAATCTTTACGGCAGAAAGTGACCAATAATCAAACACTGTGACTGTTTCCAACTTTTCCCATTCATAGTCTTTCCGTGTTCATTATTTCTGCACTAGCTGACAGTAGCAGTGCCATAAGTTTAGGAAATTTTTCTGAGAAAAATATTAAAAATGATTAAAAGTCCTATCCACTATTGTTTTCCTGTAAGGTGGGAAAAGTTCACCCAGTACTCTATTTAGAGGTGGGAAACCTCAGTCTAGTTCACAAAACCAGCATTTCATGTGCATATAGTTAGAGAATCACTGTCAAAGAAGTGTATTAATGCAATGATTCCCAAACTTTTCCACACCTAATATCCCTTTTATTGTATTTCTTTTTCCCAAGGACCCTGTTTTAAGTAATATTTGCCTTCCTCAAAAGTGCATTAATATTACCGCACTGAGTTATTACAATTCTAACCATAGGTAAAGAAACTTGATGTTTTTCAGATATTCTAGTAGAGGAAAATGTCCAATTTCCATTAGATTTTACAAATTATTGGTGGTAGGCAGTTATTACACCCCCATACCACCTTCTCCCAGGAGTCCAGAGATCTCAGCTTGAGAACCCTAAACTAGTGAATGAGGAAGGTTTCTCCCCACCTCATCAAGGCCCACCCAACCCTTTGGTCTGATACCCACTGGCCACCCCACCTTACCAGTGTTATAGAACACAGTGTTGATGAATGTGCAATTGCGGAAAAATGTGTTGCTGGACGTGACATCCTCAAAATAACACTCCTCAAACAGGGAATCCTCAAAGGACACTGACTTCAGACGCAGCCCAATGAACCTGTAAGGCCAGGAAAAAGAGATACTTCCCCCTCAGCCGCATTCCCTCCTCCAAGACTCACTCCCTTAGTGAAGTAATGAGAAGCTCTGCACTGAGGAAACACCACAGGTATTTGCCCAAAAGTACCTCGTCTTGAACTTTCAGACTCATAAGAGAGACAATGGGTAGAAGGGACAGGGAGGAGAGAAGTTTAAAGGTTCCCACATACTTGTCATTGAAGTACTGCCCCCCTCGGTGGATCTGATTCTCCAGTGTGAAGTTAAAAGTCACATGCTCCACACGCTCCCCAGGGAACACTTTGGTACGGGCTGCATAGTCCACCGCCTGGAGATGGCGGATCATGTCGGGAAACCAGACAGTCAGGCCATAGTAGCTGAAGAGTCAAGGGCCATGGAATCATACAGGGCTCAGAAATTAGAACCAGGCAGTCCAGAATGAGGGAGAAATAGAACCGGCCCATATCAGGACCATGCTCACCTCCAGCCTCATCTCTACCATTCCTCCTTTCCCAGCTGCTATGGTTCTGGGGGACTTTAGGTTCTTCTACCCAACCCACCATACTCTTTCTTACCACCCATCCCCCACTTCCAAGCCCCACCCCTCAGCCTGTCTAACTCCCATTCATCCTTCAGGACTTAGATCCCTGCCCCCATTCCCAAGTGCTCCTATAGCGCATTGCCCTTCCTCCACCGTGGCACTCATCACACTGATTTATAGCTAGTTTTGTCTAGCTCTCTGACCAAAATGTTAACTTCAGAAGGACTAGGACCATGTCTATTTCATCCAAGCACAAAATGGGCACAGAATAGAAACTTAATACTGGTCAGTGTGTAATACAAGTTTGTGGAATGAATGAGTGAAGAAGAGGAGCTGGGTGGAGGATAAGGGGATCTGAACATCTTCCCTCATTACCGGTCCCCTTCATTTCCATTTTCTCCACCTCTCTCACAGCCCACACACCACCACAACCACCACATACCACCCTCTTCAGCCACCCCCTCACCTGAATGACATGGTGAACCACACGCCCATCATCATCAGAGTGATGCGTCGATATTCTGGACCAAAACAGGAGAGGAAATTCCCCCAAACCTACAAGGGACAGAACAAAGTCAGACCATGGCTTTTCTGACTTCTAGCACCCACAGATCCCCATTTTTCTGCCCTATCACCTCCTTCAGTTCCCCATCACTCCCACACCCAGGCTCAAGCCCTGCCTTCCTCTTCACCTCTCCCACTCCCTTCTCTCTCTCCACCATCCCATCCTCCATTACCTGTCCCCCCAGGCTCAAGGCCCGGACCCCCCAGCGCTGGTACCAGGTCCCTGTGTCTGACTGGATCTCAATCAACTCATCCTCCTGATGAATCGTCTTAATGTGGGTTACCTGGAGTCAAGAGGAGGGGTGAGCAGTCACATAGTGTATTTCCCATCCCCTTCCAGGTGCCTCAGTTTCCCCGTTTTAGCAAAATCGGAGGCAGGGAGTGGATATGATATCCTGAGAATCTTATTGTGTTGTCCAAAATATCTAGGAAAGGGGAGGTATCCAGAGAGGGGCCAGGTGGGGGCTGAGGCTACAGGGACTTGGAGGTTCGAGTGGGAAGGTCTATGGCTTACTGAGAATACTCGCTCAGGATGCCCCTTGGCTCGCATGTTGGTGTCATGAACCTGCTTCAGCACCATCCAGGCCTCATCGTGCTTTCCATTCTAGAGCCACAAACATAATCCCCACATCCAGGTCAGCTCCTCCCTGACCCAGGATTACAGACCCCCTTCCTCCAACCTGGCTTTCAGAGTCACAGGACACAAAAAGGCTCTCATGCCCGAACCTCACCACCAAGCCCTGGCCTATAGGCATACATCACCCACTCTGAAAGAGCTCCAAGCTGGGGTGTAGCAAAACATAACTAGATCAGGCAAGAGTTGGGGTGGGGAGGGGGCAGAGCACAGGTCCTAAGGATTCTCTGGTACAGTGGAAAGAAAACTGAAGACAAGGGAAATGATGGGCAAGTAAGTAGTCAGAGAGGGGCAGCATTCTAACCTTGCTAGACCAAGATGTAATTGGAGGGAGAAGGAGCAGAGCGTAGGTCAGAGGGCCTTGAGCTGTAAAGTCAGGGCTAAGGCCAAGGCCCCTGCCTGCAAACTCTCAAGCTACCCATGGCTGAACAGGTCGCCTGGTTTCTCCACCCACAGAACCCCTCTGGAGGTACAGTGCAAGACAAAGGAATCAAAATAAAGTCCCCCAGAGTATGGACCCTGTGAGGAAGGAAGGCAGCCATGCAGGACCAAACCAAACCCACAGTGCGTGTTTGACCACAGGAGCCCCTGCTGCCTTCTACAAACCCCCACCCCACCCACCCAGCTGGCCCAGCCCCATTCACCTCCAGGAAGAAACGGGGGCTCTCAGGCTGCGTGGTCAGAGCCCCAATGGCAAACACAGAAGGAAAGGCGCAGACGAGGACAAAGACCCTCCAGCTGTGGAACTGGTAAGCAGAACCCATCTGAAAACTCCACCCTGGCAGGGACAGAGTCACAGCATCAGCAGAGAGACCAGAGGCTGGGGCTCCTACTGCAGGGAGCTCAGGAGAGGAGGGAGGCCGAAGAGAGTGTGAGTGGATTCCTGGGGGCAGCTCACCGTAGTGCGGGATGATGGCCCAGGCCATGGCAGCTGCGTACACTCCACCAATCATCCAAAACATGCAGAGCCAGCTCAGATGCTCCCCACGTTTCTCCTGGGCCAGAAACTCCGAGAAATAGGAGAAGACAATGGGGATGGACCCTCCAATCCTGGAGGGCATGTCAAGAATTCACTATTAGAAAATGGCTGTATTCCTGGTCCTCTGCCCCAGTGCTCTGGATCTCCAAGCCCTTTTCATCTTCCAGACCTTTTTAAGAGACTACGTCTCACACATCATGCCCTACAAGCTCCCCTCCCCACCAGCCAGCAAGCACCCATCCTTGGGACCTTGGGACACAGGCAAGCAGTTCTCAGGGAATGGGGAAAAACAAACATTAAATCTTAAAGATGACCACAGAGTTAAAAGGAGGGAAGATAGTTGCAGAAAAGAGGAAAACCTTCAGAGCAAAAAGATGGGCAGAGGAGTATGAGGGCAGGCCTCGTGGGGTCAAGCCAGAAAAGAACTTAGAGACAAGGCAGAGTGAGAGTGCCTGCCCGTGAGTGCCTGAGGGAGTGTAGGGGCATCTGGGCAAGGCTCAGAGTTCTGGCAGATGTGGGTGTTGGCAAGGTTTGTTGTCTAATGCAGGAAATGTGTAGACTCTGGGAGGGGATAACTCCACGGTCCACAGGAGCCCAGGGGTGATGCTAAGGTCCACCCGGCCTCTGTGTGGAGGCAGGCTCAGAAATGGAACTGAAGGTGGGGTGGAGGACTCAGCAATGGGCCAGATATGGAGTGGCATTCTGGACAGCAGCAGACAGGTCCTGGACAGAGGGAAGCTGGCCTGCAGATGGAGGGGGGAGAAAGGAATTCATTCATTCATTCAACTCACACATATTTAAATTCCATTCGGTGTGCCTGGCAACTGTGCTGGGCCCTGAAGATATAACAGTGACCAGGGCACAGTCCTGACCTCAAGGGGTTTAGGAAGTGGCCACTCACCCAACCCCAGAAAGGAGGCGGCAGAAGAGGAAAGTGCCATAACCCTGGACAAAAGATGAGAAGAAGGCAAAAACGCTGTTGACTGAGAGCGAGATGAGCAGACACTGTCTCCGACCCAGCCGATCAGCCAGACCTCCCCAGAGGAAGGCTCCCACCATCATGCCCAGGTAGACAATGAGGCCTGGAAGGAAGAGGGAAACAGAGGCAGGAGGATGAGCAGACACACCTCGATTCCCCACCAGCTGAAACTACAACAGAATGGATCAGGGATCAGAAGAATTTCTAGAAGCTAAGTCTGCCCAGAGATAAGAGCAAGGGAGAGAAGATAAATTTTGTGAGCAAAGATGGAAGGTCATCTCTGCTGGCCAGGGATTCAAAGCAGGAATTCAAATATGAGAGGACCCCGGGATTCTCCTCTTTCTTTCTCATTTCTCACTCTCTCTCGCACACACACAACCCACCCCATCCCTGGCTCAACTAGAAGGAGGAATGGATCTGCCTCGATCCCTAGACCCTCCCCGGGTCCTCTCTATCCTCTCTGCTTTGATGCCCTTAAAGCAGCAGGAGGTGACTCTTTTGTTCCTTGGGAAAGGGGCTCCAATTCCTTCAATCTTCCCACTCCCTGGCCCCTGGAAAATCCCAAGTCTGAGTGAGGGCAAGTTTAACCACTTCTCTGGTGGCAGACCCAGGATTCTTCTACCTCCACCACCCCAAACCGATCCTCCCCATTTATACCAGGGAGATTTATACCCAGTCAGGGCAAGGGAACAGACTAACAAGAGGGAGAGCTATGAAGAAACGTTAAACAGTGGTCCATCCCACCGTGGCCATTCCTACAGAGCTATTTAAGCAGACTGTCACCCAACCACTGGCCCAGGCCCCAGCCCAGCTGTCCTCCCCCAAGCTCCTCTTTCACATTCAACTTTACTTTACCCAACCCCAAGAAGAGGGTGTATGTGAGGGGAGAGTGTACAAAGGAACCCTGAACCCTCCAGGAACATCTTGGGAGCAGGGTCCTTAGGAGCCCAGTGGTAAGGACAGTAGCAATTCCCAGGAACAAGGGTGTTTCCAGGGTTTGAGGCAGGACAGGGCAGGAGTGCCCCCGGTGTGTCTTACCCAGCATGCCCTTGTTGGAGTCAGACAGGCACATGTCTTTCTCAGCACTGGGCAGCACGAAGCCCACCACAAAGACCTCGACACCATCAGCCATCAGCGCCAGACCAAGCACAAAATAGAGTGTCCACTGGAAGCGGCCATGGCCACACTCCCGTAGGATGGCTTCATACTGCTGGGCCAGTTCTTCCCGTTCTTTCCGCCGCTGTGCCTCCCCCCGTCCCCCAGGGGGGCCTTCCCCATCACTCAAGCCCCCCCTGACTCCAGCCAGGGGTGCCCCATCTGCCATCCGCTCACCCTTGCCCCCAGACTCTGCCCGGGGGATACCCTGATACTCCCCCTCGTAGATCTCATCATCCTCGTCGTGGCCTTCAGTGGCATCACTAGATGCACCACCTTCCTCCTCGTCCTGGGCCCCTTCCCCACGGTAATAGCCGTCAGCGGGGGCAGGGAAGTCATCATCATCCTCCTCTTCCTCAAAGCGGGAGTAGGATCTGCGGGAATATTCGTCCTGGACTCTGTCCAGGCCCTTCACCACTTTCTTGGCCGCATGCTTCTTGACTTCCCTGGCAATGTCTTTGGCCCCACGGATGAAAGCTGCCCGGTCTCGGAAGCCCTCTTCCATGATGGGGCTTGGGGGCACTTCACCTGATCTCTGCCACTCCCTGCTTCTTTTTCAGCCTTTTGCTCAAGGACTTGTGGAGTCAAGAAGACACCTCCCCCCAGTTGTTTAGATGAAGTGGGTTCCAGTATCTTTGGGCACAGAGTAGTAGGAACTAGGACCTGGCCAGTAAGTGTCTAGGAGGGGAAAGGAAGAGAGGAGCTCTGGCCTATACTCAGTTCAGGTGGGTGGATGGGGGAAGGGAGAGAGGAATGGAAAGGGGAGAGGAGCCAGGAGAACTCAGGAAGGGCTGCCTACTTCTCTTTCCAAAGCTTCTGGAGACCTAGAAAAAATAAGAGGGAGAAAAAGGAAGTTGAAAGTCCGAACATGATAAAGAAGGCCAACACAGAGCCCCTCTCAACTCAGAGTCCGCCTGGACCATGTGGTGCAGAGATGATCTCCTTGCTTCAGTAAAAAGGGACCTGGGCCATCTGAGCCAACTGTGGGTCATTCACATAGAAGTCCCCTTATACTGACCTTGGAGCCCAGGTCTATGGGATTTGCTCCAGAGTCACAGCCACCTACCCTGAGTCCTCCTAACCCCCTGTGCCACATCAAGCTCAGACCCCTTGCTTTACCACCAACCTGCAAAGAACAAAACAGGAAATAGGAGAAACCAGAATTCCCTGCTCTAGTCTGATCTGGGTTTCTACTTGGGGGCAGAGCTTGAGGAAGATGTGCAGAAGGAGGAGAAGCCCTTCAAGCTATTTGCCTTCTGTCCGTTGAGAGGGGTTCCCTCGGGTTCCATGTTTATAGGCCTCCCAAAGAACAATTTTCTCCCAACATAGCGTAGTGAGTAAAAGCTCAGCTTCCAGAGTCAGATAGACTGGGGTTTGACTTCCTGCTTTAGCACTTACTAACTAAGTGACCACAGGCATGTTTCTGAACATCCAAGTCTTAGTTTCCTCTTATTTAAAAAAGGGGAAAGTAAGGATTAAATGACATAACACATAGAAGCTCCTTATCATCATACCTGGCACATAGAAAGTGATGAATAAATATTAGCTATTACTATTGTGGTGATAGCAATATATGAGACGTCCTATGCTCCCTCACGATGTCCCAAAACAAAAGCCACCTCTGGATGCTCTTAGGGTGAGCAGCAAAAAAGGATGCTGGCAAGGAGAATGCTGGTTCAGTGCAAAGCAGACAACAGTTAGATGAGTTGAAATCCCAACTCTGCCACTTACTAACTAATCTTGAGCAGGTTACTTATTTACTAACTGATCTTGAGGCTCTGTAAGCCTCAGTGTCCTTATATTTAAGTTTGGGGTAATTAAAACAGGAGAATGTCTGTTTCTCAGAGTTGATGTGAGAATTCAATCTCACAGTGAATATTCTTTAAATATTAGTGTCCTTCCTTCCTATTATATTGAAAAATGTGAACGAAGCAGGAAGCAGCAAGGAAGAAGCAGGGGTCACACTTAGAGGCTGTTGGCCAGTATCCTCCCAAAACAGAGAATCCCAAGACTCCTCTGTCTGTGTTTAAATTAATTCCAACAGCTAGGCATGCATTATCTCCCTCCAGACAAACAAGGGAAGATTCAAAATAGGGAGATCTGGAACCTGAATAGAATGGAGAAGAGGGCAGATCCAACGCTAACAAAGAATCCAAAGCTAACAATTATGTGATGACTGGCTGCTGCCATCTTCCTTCAGAGGGTCATACATGGGCCCTTTTCACTGGTGGGGGTCGCAATGGTAATGACTGATCAAACTCCTATGTTTCCAACATAAGGGGCTAAGGTCTATAGTTGCACCTCATTCCTCCAAGGCCTCCCTTCCTAATTCCTCTTAATCCTTTCTGCTCCTCCTCCAAGACTCAAGGAAAAAGGAGTCCACAAATACCGCATTGCGTAGGAGGCTGGTATAAAATGAAGGGGGCCCTGGGCCTCCCCCCAAAAAAGAGGGAGGCATAGGATACTGCCTCTAACTTCACAGAAGCAGAGGAAGCAGGCCTAGATTCTGATCAGAGGTCATCCCCCTAAAAATATCCTTTTGCTCCCACCCATCTAGGTCATTCATTAAATGTCACACACACACACACATGCGTGTGCCCTGGGAGGAGAGGGTAAGTAATGCTATGTGATTCAGAGAGAAGCACTGGCAAGCAGAGCCTTACCCCCTCAGGACAGATATAAGCATCGGACCACGGTGACCGGTGACCAGAAGCAGTGACCCCTGTGTCATGTTTCCTTCATGGTTTGGGGGCCCAACCATCCCCCATGAAAAAAGGGAACTGTGGAATCCCTCAGTGCATGGCAGTTTGCTTTCCTTTCCTTTCTTTCCTAACCAGGATCTCCCAAAAAAACCTGAAGGAGGCAGATGGACCCACCAGGAGCCATACCCTATGTTTGTTGACACTATTTACCCCTGAGAAGTACATGTAGAGTAGAGAAGGCTCCCACAGCCACAGCAGGATACGATGGCTCAACAGCCAGCTCCCCCAGGGCCAACAAGCCCAGGCCAGGAGGGAGAGAAAGACAAATTCTTTGAGCTGGTGAGGAAGTGGTGCTATTTTTAGCCCCAGAAGCAGTACAGGGTGGCTAAGCCTGTGGAAGAGAGACAAGACTTGAAGAGGTGGAGAGTAAAGGAGACAAGATTCAGGGTTACACGGCCCTTTAAGGCTGGCTGGCTTCACCTGACCGGAAAAAATGTGCCCAGGAGATTTTCTGCAGAGGGTGATGAGAGGCGGGGACTCCCTAGCAAATGTTTCTTTGCAGGGCAACTCACCCAGCCTTGGGTAAGAGGAGGGTCCAGGAGACCCCCCAATCTCCCAATCAATGTCCCTGACTTTGGGAGCCATCCAGATCCCCAACCCACTCTAGCCCAGGTGACAAGGTCATTAGGAAGCAGTCACTTATCAAAACGCGGGGGGGGGGGGGGGGGAGCGGGGAGACAGAATGTGGGAGGTGCTGGACGCCCCTCCCCATTACAGCTGGGTGATCGAGCCTCAGCCCCAACCCCAGGACTGCCACGGCTGCGCCCCCCTCACCCATCCTACCCCAAGGTTAGGAAGATGGGAGCATCATCAGTTCCGAGGGAAAAAAAATGAAGGTGTCAGCTGAGATGCATACGGAGGAATACGGACAAGCAGAGAGGTCGGGACGCAGGGGACCTCCACACGTGCGGGCACAGAGACCGCCCCTACCAGCATCTGCGGCCACTGCCCCCCCGCCCCCGTCTCGCCTCAGCTCTGGTGTAAGGGGCGAGCCCCTAGAATTGACTACGTCGC